GGTGGGATTTTGAATAGAAAGTAAAATATAGAAAATATTTCACTAAGAATTTGCTATGATTTTTGTTGAATAGAAAAAATTTTATAAAATAAATTTTTTTTTTTACCAGTTTATTTTGTTTGAAATAAGTATAATCGTAAGGAAATAGAAAGTTTTTCTCATAATATTAAACTTCTCTTTGCTAACTTAACGTTAAAAATGTTTTTCTTTCACAAAGATCTTTAGAAGATAGATAGTCTACATGCTTTAGATAGCAGTTTTCATGACGCCAATAAACCTGATCATGTGTTTCTCCTTAATTTTCAAACAAGCTATGAAAGCATGGTACACTCGATTTACTATATATGTTTTCTCTGTGTATTGGCTTTGTTTAAGACCTATTTGATATGTTTTTTTTCGTGTTATACTCATAAGAAGAAAATAAATTGAAAAACATATCTCAAACATAGAAGTAGTTAAGCGTATCACTTTAATATGATATTATAAAATAGATTTCGGCACTAAAGAACATATATTTTGGTTAAAAAGTTTGAAATTTACCACTAATCAAAAATAGAGTATTCATGGTAACGGTAGTGTAACTAGTTTCTAATAAAGCCTTTTAACGGGTTTTCACTAAAAACAAAATAAGTAACTTTTAAAAACGTTAAAATATGGAAGATCTGCACCACTATAGTCATAAAAGACTTAGAAACCTACGTTAAATTGCTGATCTAGAAATCTAAGATGATTTTTGCATAACCTTCTAAATTTAGTCCATCCATATAAAATAGATCAAAACATGAACAAGAGACCAAAAATGAAGAAGTCAAAAAAGAAGTTAAGTGTATTACTTTAATACAATATTAAGAGTAAAGTTTGGCGCGAAAGAACTTAGGATTATGTAAACAGTTATCAAAATTAATCATTCATCAGAAACAGAGTACTCACGACAGTTATAATTTAAATTAACTGTATGTTTTTAACAGTGTTTCACTGAAAAACAAAATGAAAAACTCTTAACCGAACTAAGAAATTTGTATTCCAAAACTTTATATCCAAGAAAAGAGATTGAAACACTCTAAGATGATTTTTGCATAACCTTCTAAATTTAGTCCATCCGTAAAAAAAGATCAAAACATGAGACCAAAAATGAAAAAATCAAAGAAGAAGATAAACGTATTACTTTAATATAATATTAAGAAATAAAGTTTGGCGCGAAAAATTTTCGGATTCTGGTAAAACAGTTATCAAAATTTATCATTCATGAAAAACAGAAATAGAGTACTCACTACAGTTACAATTTAACTTAACTGTATTTTTTAACAGTGATTCACTGAAAAGCAAAATGAGAAACTCTTAGCCGAGCTAAGAAACTTGTATTCCAAACTTTATATCCAAGAAAAGAGATAGAAATGAATCTGGAGAATCTGCAACAATCGTAAAAATCTTGGATACCTGAGCTAAAATTCTAAAATAGATTATTTTGCGTTAAACTAAAACTATTAGAAATCGAAGAAAACACGAAAGAACAAAAATTTTGGTAAAAGAAGATTCAAAAACTTATTATTCATTAAAAAACAGAGCATTCCCGACCGTTACGATTTAATCTAACTGTAAATTCTTTTAACTGAAAACAAAATAAGAAACTCTTAAACCGAGCTAAGAAATTTCTAATCCCGGAAAACCATCTCCAATAAAAACATCTCAAAACACACACAAAAAGAACATTAAACCCATTTACCATCAAACTCTTTCTAGTTGCCGGTATATATGTCTTGAAGGAAAACTCGCCGGCGGTCAGGGAACGAAATAAGACACGCGTCGAGATATAAGAGGTTAGTAGGGTAATGCTATGGTACTCGCTTCCCCATCAAATTCTTTGGTGCTCTCTCTCTCTCTAAAAGCGGACTCCTCATCTTATTAAATCCGCTTAAGTCTTTTTGGGTCCGCCCTTTCTTTCACATCCTCTCTCTCTCATTTCAGGGCAGGTCAAATACTTGTCTTT